AACTCCCAATTGCTTCTTTACACCCAAGAGCTAGAAGAAATGGCTAAACTGGTATGCTATGAGTCATGCTTCGCATTTTGTGGTCAGGTCTACAGGCAAAAAAGAGGGGTTCCGATGGGAAGTCCCCTCTCAGGAATCCTTTGCGAATTAGTTGTCAGAAGAATAGAAAGACGGGTACTTCATAGTTTCAAGGAAGATATTGTATATTTCAGCAGATATGTGGACGACATCCTTATTTTATGGAAAAATAATAGTAGGGTGCATGAATTTATGAATAGAATTAATGATAACGATGATGGGCTTAAATTGAGATTAGAACAGAAGAGTTCCTTGAGTGTGCACTTCTTGGACATTAATATCCGGTTTATGAAAGGGCATTTGTCCACAAGTGTTTATATTAAACCTACACACGCCCCATTATATATTCCATCCCAATCCATGGATCCATATCGGTATAAGATGGCAGCCTTCCGAGCGTTAATAAGGAGAGCCTATTTATATTGTGACCGAGTCGCTGACAGGGAGAAGGAGATTGATAGAGTATTGCAGGTGGCCCGGACCCTGGGTTACAGAAAAAGTATAATTGTAGGAATGCTTAAAAAGTATGAAAGCGGCATAGTAAAAAGAACTTTAAGGAATGTTCCTACTATGCTCACAAAATTTACTTATAATAGTAGTATGAATAGTGTTATGAAAGAAATTGCTAGTCGAAAGGAATTAAGAATGGTTTTAAGAAGAGCCCCTAATTTGTATAAGACCTTGAGAAATGATAAGGATAGTATCAAAGCGGAGGAAAAAGCAGGGGTGTATAAGATTCCTTATGAGAACTTACAACTGGATGTTAAAAAAGATTATATCGGCGTCACTACCAGAAGCTTGGGAGTAAGGCTCAAAGAACATAGATATGCCATAAGAAAAGCATCTAATTCAACGATTTTGTCACAAATGGCGCAAGCGCAAGGCTCTGANTCAGATTTTATTCAATTGTTTGACTAAACACTTTCTGTTATTGTTACTCATTTCGTCTTGGTTAGAGTCCAAGACAATTTGCTGTAAATACGAATGAATGGAAATAGTGCAATAGAGACAAAGAGAAGACTGAAACACCAAATCGAAAAACAAAAACTTGCCAGAAAATTTTGAATCCGAAGGGAAAAGGGAAATTCTAAATCTGAAACAAGAGTAGATTTTCGGCTTTAAAGAGTACGTTTTTAAATTTCATCAAAGTATTTTCCAAAAATATACTTTTCGTTTCTGTTTATCATTTTCTACTCTCTGATTACGGAATATGCGTATAATGTGCAGTACATTAATTGATATCATATAGATTTCTGGTTCGAAGCTATGCTGGAAAGAAAACAAAATATTCTGTGAATATTATTGACAAGTAACTATTCTGAACAACTATTCAATTTGCATTTCTCATTAATTCTTATTCGCGCTGCAAAAATAAGCGAGTCGTTTAATGATAATCGAACTTACCACAATGAAACTGTTCGAAACTCTTTACTTCAGGAATGTACACGAGCACACAGAACAACACGATACATGTTATAAGTGCCATGTTGATAGAAGATGCTCTAGTCGAAGTTACAGGCCATCTGCATATTTATAGTCACGATTCCTCTGGCTTCTTTTCTATTGGCGTCGATCTTTACACAAAAAACTGTTTGTAAAGGAACAGATGTTCCTTAACAAACGAAAGCCGGTACGTGAGCATAAAGTTATATTTTTTCATATTTATCCGAATATTGTCTGACATAAATGATCTGCTTAAGAAATTGTTGGTCGACTTTCTTTAATCCGCAATAAAAATAAAGTAAATAATTAGCATAAAAATTAATTGGGCAAATTTTCGTAACAAGTAATTTCCACTCCGTAAAATTAAAAATGCAAAGAAATTATATAAACAGGAAAGGCTTTGTTTGCTTTCCTTAACATGTTCTCAGGAATGAGAGAAAAAGCAGGAAGCCAAGTTAGCACTCGAGTTTATTCAGCCATTTTGACGAAAAATAAAAATAGATATTCATAATTAAAGGAACTTTGTTTCTTTTCCATTAACTGAAAGTTGTTGTTTGTTGTTAAAGTGTTAAATATTTTACTTCAGAAGTTTGTAAAATTGTGTTTTTTATTATTTCATAAATAAATAATATAAGCTGACTTACAATTTCATACGATACTTTTCCAGTTGCTATATAACGGAGGGAAAGTATGGTCATCGGTAAAAAAAATCACCTCGAGATTGTTATATTTTTGGACTAGGGGAACCTCGAAACGTCGGTAAATACGAAAAACTTGGGGGTTTTCTGTATGTATGGACGTCAGTGTGTGTCTGGAACATGTACTTTTACCTATATTGAAGCTTAATTAATCCTTTATAGTGTTGAATAATTCCGAAATTATTCCAGGAGGTCGTGTATTTGCGGAGTGTTTATAAATTTTCAGAAAAGCCAAACATTTCTTCGGTTGATACGGACCCACTTCTTAAAAGAGCCCGCACTTATAAAGTTAGTTAAAAAATTAAGTATGATAGATGAAGATTCTCATTAATTTTAATAGATTTTCTATTGTTTGATGCAATTTATATTGGAAAGAAAAATAAAATTCGAATGTATTTTTAAATTTCAAAAATTGTTTATTTGTTGTTAAACGCTTGTAAGTTTTAGTGTCGGAAATTTTTTGTATGGATTCGTCAGCTACGAGCTCGCACAACAAAAATAAGAATGCTTTATTTGTCGTCTGTTTTCGTTGTGAAAATCGTTAGCAAACAAACAGTATTAAGGCGTAATAATTTCGTGCTTGAACGATATAAAAATACAATTTTGATTTGATTTGATGTGTTTACGTTCGTGCCTGTCCGCACGAACCCAAACCCGTTCAACATCGTTACACGATACCAACCCAAAAAAGAGAAGCGTTTTAGACACGTAACGTTTAGTTGTGAACAGTAAACAATACGAATCAATTGCCTTTAACGTTAGCGGAGTCGACCTTTTTGTATCGGTTCTTCTCCGCCTACGCTTACGAAATTTGTTTAATACCCCTCCGGCATCAAATTCTTGTATAAATTTCTGTATAAAACAAATTTTATTTTTACAAAAGAGAGACAACAAATAAAAATCGAAATCACTAGTGTTCAGAAAAAAGGTTTAGAGAAAACTTCAAATATTTTTTGTATTTAACTTTCATATCCGAATTTTTTTTTCAAAATATTTTCGTTCTGAAATATTAATTTTAATTTCTGCACAAATATTTCTCGCTAGTTTCGTGTAATATTTCCTCGTAAAAATGTACAATACTTACTATTGTACCGTGCTCATAATTTGAAATCTATTCAGAGATTTCAAATTGTGATCATGGTACAATGGTAAAGTATATTTTTACGAGGAAAATTACACGAAACTAGCGAGAAATATTGTTCTTTAAAGTGTAACGATTTTTAAAAAGTTTCCAATGTAAAATATAAGAACAATAGCAATTGCAAATTCGTGATTGTTCGGTAATCGTAACGCTTTAGTTAATTATATTTCAAGAAGAGTGAATTACTGTTCACAATTTCGAGAAGTTTTTCGAGATGAAAGAATCTAATGATGAATAAAATCGAATCTAATTATGACCAGCATTTTTAAATTTTTCAGAATAAAAAGGTTTTATATACTGTATATAGGTAGCGTTTTTATCATGTATCCGGTTTCTTCACAACACTTCAAAAATTAAAAATCAGCATACAAAATAATTAAAAATACAATTTTGCAAAGTTACGAAAAAAAAATATTCCACGATTATTCACTTCACCTGAAGAAATCTTTTCTCTTTACCATTTCCAAATTCTTATTTACCTAATAATAGTAGAAAGACAATTTCGGCAATTATAAAAAAGTTCTCCTAAACGAAGCTAGTTTATTTATGAACTAGCAGACCCCGCCACGCGTTGTTGTTGCTCAAAATGTATCTGTTATATATGTAAAACATATCCCCGTGGAAGGGGGAAATTTTTCGAAAAATTTCTTTTTAGTGTACATTATCTTGACATACTCTATTAAAACGCAGTAAAAAACGAAAAGCCCGCATGTAAAATAATATAATAGAAGCAAAGTTTTTCATGGTAAGCCTTAATTCTGTCTCTCTCTCCCGCGGTTAAATATCGAAAAATCCCTTCTTAGTGTACGTTCTGTTGACGTACCCTATTAAAACGCAATCAAAAATGCAAAAAACCGATCTAAAATAGTATAAATAGAAGCAGAGTTCTTTACGGTAAGCCTTAATCCTAACCATCTCTCTTTAGTGGGGTTGAATTTCGACACGTATATTATATAAAAACACGTGCGTATTCGAATGCGGCGTTGTGTCAAAATTTCAAAGGAATCGGTAGGAACAAACGAACATTACATTTTTATTTATATAGATAGATATTTATATAACATTACATTTTATTTATATGATGTGCCTTAGTTCATTTTCACATAAAAGCGTAATGCCTCGCAAAAAAGCAAACTTAGGGCGTCGTACTCGTAGCGCCATCTGTTGCACATAAAAGCCTTAACCTAGATGATATTTTTTAATTTATACGAATGTTTAACGGAATAATATACAGCCTATGTCCACCTTGAAGTTCCATTCTAAATATTGGTGAAATAATTTTTGAAATCGAATGAGTAGTTTCGGAGATTACCCGCTACATCCAAACTTACTTACTTACATACATACGAACATTACCTCTTTATAATATTAGTATCGATATCCATTTTTTCGTCAAAATGGCTGAATAAACTCTATTGCTAACTTGGCTTTTTGCTTTTTCTTATTCCTGAGAACATGTTCACTAAAGCAAACAAAACCTGTTTTGTGTATCTACTTTTAATACCTTTTATTTTTCTGGCTGTTATGTATATCTAAAAAGAGAAAGTATTGAAATCGTGTCAAAATTGACCCTGAGAGACTTTTTGTAAATCTCCATGTCTTCAGACTGCTTTTACCCAAAAACTCAGAAAACGGCAAAAAGTTCCGTGTATGTGTGTGTCTCTTGGTGCCTGTTCGTTTAATACCTCAGGATGGGGTAAAGAGTAAGAAACGAAATTTGGCATGGTAGCTTGTTCATTAACGCTATTAAATTTTGGTGTTTAATGGTCGAGCGTGAGAAGATATAAAGGAGCATCGTGTGTCATATCTCAAGAGACGTCGGACATAATAAAGATTCTACTCGTTATTAAATTATATAACTTAAAAGTATACACTGATATAAATCATGAGGATGTTTATTTCTTTGTTTGTTCGTGGTACACTTCTGGGCCGTTTGACCAATTACTATGAAATTCGGCATTTACGTTAAAAACTTCTAACTTAGATAAGTCGTACATAGTGTTGATACTTAACACCCCAAAATATCAATCGGGTTTCTATATATCGATTAATTTCTGTCTACATTCGATTTACTGGTTTTAAATTTATCGACATCAAAAGATTTAAAAAATAATAAATTAAATATAGTTCATAAAAACAAGGTTATAATAAAAAGACACATATTACATTCACTTAATTAATGCCACGATGATATAGCGTGAAAAATCACTGCTATATCATCACTGCCATTGGTAACAGATAGCACTCACATCCATGGAGTCGAAAAAGTGTTACACTGTGGAATCTATATAGAAATTTTCTTTTCTACTTCTATCAACTTGAGCGTTTTCATTTCTGAACGGTATTTCCTTAATTCTAATAAGTGCCTGTAATTAACCAAATGGAAAACACTACTGAACACCAGCAGTCGTGTTACGCACAAGGGCAACGGACTATCCATTTGGAGTTTTCAGGATTATCTTCACCATACGTTTTTCAAATTTACGAGTAATAATGCCGGGAGTATCGATAACTGGTACTTTGTAATCCCGGGCTTTCAACCGAACAAGTGTTTGGCTTTTCTGAAAATTTATAGAAACATCCCGCAAATACACGACCTCCTGGAATAATTTCGGAATTATTCAACAAAAATACAAGATGAGTTAAGCTTTAATATAGGAAAAATTCATGCCACAGACACACACTGACATCCATACATACATAAAATAGCACGAATACTCGGCTACTATTCGGTATTCGGCCTATTCGGCTACTTTTCTAAATATTCGGTATTCGGCCAAATGTTGCATACCATTCGGCCGAATTCCGAATACCAAATCATGAAAACAAACACACATATTACTCAAAAACGTATTGATTTTAATCACAATTATTACATTTAATACTTAAAATCTATCAGTGGTAAGTTGTGATGAATGAAAACAATTTTTTCAGCATTTGTTGATAGCAAACGATTGCGCTTTTCCGCATAAACTATACCTGCTTCTGAAAATAGCCTCTAACTAAATACACTACGGCCGGGAGACGATAGATAAATCTTAGCGAATTCTGTCAGGCTTGCATACTGTTTTGCGTTTGCTGACCACTACTTGTAAAGGTCTGCCGTCCAATCTAGGCGAACAGTTTTCATATAAAGTGATATGAACAATGACATTTTTTAGTAATAAGGACTATTAGTAACACAATTTGATGTAACAATGAACAAATAATGCATGTAGTGACACGATCTACTCGCAAATAAAACCGAAATGAAACAGGTCATAACCTGTCACCCGCGAAATGTACACATATTTTGCCGAACATTCGGCCGCCGAATATTCGGCACTTCGGCCGAGAGCAAAGCAGAATATCCGGTATTCTGTATTCGGCAAAATCAATATTTTTGGCATCACTAATACACACAGAAAACCTTCAAAGTTTTTCGTATTTATCGACGTTTCGAGGTTTCCCTAGTCCAAAAATATAACAATATCGGGATGATTTTTTACCGATGGCCATACTTTCCCTCCGTTATACAGCAACTGGAAAAGTAATTGTAAGTCATCTTATATTATATATTTACGAAATAATTAAAAATACAATTTTACAAACTTCTGAAGTAAAATATTTGACTTCAACCTTCAGTTAACATCTCCAAATTTTAATATTTTCATAATGACGGAAAAGAAACAAAGTTCCTTTAATTATGAATATCTATTTTTATTTTTCGTCAAAATGGCTGAATAAACTCGAGTGCTAACTTGGCTTCCTGCTTTTTCTCTCATTCCTGAGAACATGTTAAGGAAAGCAAACAAAGCCTTTCCTGTTTATATAATTTCTTTGCATTTTTAATTTTACCGAGTGGAAATTACTTATTACGAAAATTTGCCCAAGTAATTTTTATGCTAATTATTTACTTTATTTTTATTGCGGATTAAAGAAAGTCGACCAACAATTTCTTAAGCAGATCATTTATGTCAGACAATATTCGGATAAATATGAAAAAATATAACTTTATGCTCACGTACCGGCTTTCGTTTGTTAAGGAACATCTGTTCCTTTACAAACAGTTCTTTGTGTAAAGATCGACGCCAATAGAAAAGAAGCCAGAGGAATCGTGACTATAAATATGCAGATGGCCTGTAACTTCGACTAGAGCATCTTCTATCAACATGGCACTTATAACATGTATCGTGTTGTTCTGTGTGCTCGTGTACATTCCTGAAGTAAAGAGTTTCGAACAGTTTCATTGTGGTAAGTTCGATTATCATTAAACGACTCGCTTATTTTTGCAGCGCGAATAAGAATTAATGAGAAATGCAAATTGAATAGTTGTTCAGAATAGTTACTTGTCAATAATATTCACAGAATATTTTGTTTTCTTTCCAGCATAGCTTCGAACCAGAAATCTATATGATATCAATTAATGTACTGCACATTATACGCATATTCCGTAATCAGAGAGTAGAAAATGATAAACAGAAACGAAAAGTATATTTTTGGAAAATACTTTGATGAAATTTAAAAACGTACTCTTTAAAGCCGAAAATCTACTCTTGTTTCAGATTTAGAATTTTCCTTTTCCCTTCGGATTCAAAATTTTCTGACAAGTTTTTGTTTTTCGATTTGGTGTTTCAGTCTTCTCTTTGTCTCTATTGCACTATTTCCATTCATTCGCATTTACAACAAAATGTCTTGGACTCTAACCAAGACGAAATGAGTAACAATAACAGAAAGTGTTTAGTCAAACAATTGAATAAAATCTGAGAAGCGCATCTTTTCGTCAGATAACTTACATATGGATATAGTTGCTGGAAATGATGTATTTCTGTTACTTTACGAGGTTAATTACATTAGATCGGAAAGCCTGGTTTTATTTTAACGAGGAACATCGTATAGCTTCCAAGAGACACTGTAGGACACTGAAAAATGCGACAATGAATTCGAAGGAACATTACTACACGAATTTGTACGTCGAAAATCCACACTAATGCCGCTTTTGGTTTCCTAAATTTATTTCAGACGACGAGAACGACCGCAGAATGGAATATTCCAACTTCACCTTCACTCCTTATCCGATTCAGTACGAAAACAGCTTCCAGGCTTCGTTTCATTCAAATTTCTTGCAGCCCGTAACGTGCGACGCCATCTTTTTCCTTACCATCCTGCCGTGCGGCAAAGAGAAGAGTCAAGCCGTGAAAACTTTGTAAGTTTACTTGAAAGATATTACAAAAGAGAATATTGTAAACCGGCAAAATACGAAGTAATACGAAAGTTTTCTATTAAATATTCGTTAATTTTTCACTTGTTTACAGTACTTTCGGCATGAAAATGGTGATGGAAGTAGTTAAGAAGTGTGCTAAAGATAAGAACGCTTACTATCCTTGTTTGGAAAGGGATTACGCCAAGAAATTGCAAAACGGAAACAACATTCAACCTGGAAGAATGTACATATGCGCCAATATACCCAAAATGTTTAATCCGGTAAGGAATGAACGAATTGCTTTTGCGCAGTCGAATTACTTAAAAGCTAACTTTTGACTTGTTCTCAGGGATGTTACGACGTTCTCCTCGAGTTTCGACAGAAGGAAGGTAAAAATAATGTCGTCGGACTGTCTTGCTACAAGTTGACAAACGTCAAGGTCGAAAAGTAAATCAATAAAGATAAAATGTTATGCTTATTTTCAAAACTTGAAAAATAAAGTTTGGTGTTATAATGATGTGTTTATTAGACTTTAATAATTAAAGTTTGAGATGATGAATTGATTTGGATTTACGGAACTGCTTTTTGGGCTGTAATTTGAAAAAAAAAACTGTAGACCTATAGATTCCTACCTGACGTCTAACGGTGCTCCTTTAATCTCGAAAACATAATTAAATAGATGAACTTTGACATCTTCAATCTTCTGTGGTTATCGACATTCGATGATTTCGGTTCTATTTTATGCACTTTTCTTGCTATTTAATTTATTAAAGTCTGGATATTTGCTTATGTTTTTGTAAAAATTTGTTTAGGATATACTGTATTTAGTATTTTTCTGTAAGAAGGTAAGTGCTGTGAATTTCTGTTCTTTGCAGAAGATTTTGAACAGAATAATTCGTGCAACACAGCCAGAAACTTGAAAAATTTATGAACCACGACATGGAAATTCTTGTGTTTTCATATTTAACATTTCTGTATTTTTTTTAAAATTTATTTAAAATCTAGAATTTTTTTCGCAATTTGTAGGTCATACAATTATTGATAATAATATTTTAAATAATAAATGAGAAAAACGTATGGAGAAAACGTACCGTAATGGATTATTATGAAATTTAATTTTCGATATATATTTTTAAAAATCTATTAACGAGTTGTTTAACTTTCTCGGCATCATTTGGTGGCGCCATCTGTTATCATATTTCACTTTAAAATTTTTTACATATTTTTTTAACTATTATAAAACGGCAAGACGCTTAATTTTGAGGTTAGAGATGAGTTTTATACAAAAAATTAAAATGCTAGTAACGAGTAAAATCGTCGTTAAGTCCGTCGGTACTGGAGATGCACACAATCCCCTTTATCCCCTAATCTTCTGGACTTTTAACCACCAAAATATAATAGCATCAATCCCTCTGACAAACTAATTTCCCTGCTAAATTTCATAAATTCTCGTCAAAAAGCAAAAACGTTATTAAGCTTCAAACAGAATAAACAAAATCGTGCCTCCACATACATCCTAACCTAATATAGAAATTATATATTAGAAACAGAAATTACCCTGAATTTTTTGCGTCTCTCGAAGTTTCAAAGTGTCTTAAGTCTAAATATGCAAAAATCGGGGAAAGAGTTATTATTTTGCCAGATCGCCATACTTTTCCTGTTATAACAGCCAGAAAACTAATACGAGAAAAATTTAACAAAAATAACATTTTAATAAATTAAAAAATGGATGCAAGGTATAGATGGTAATTTTAAATGATTAATTATTGATTTGAATATAGCATTTGTTTGCAGGTACTTTTAAATATAGTTTAATCTTTATGAAATAAGGGTTCTATTAGTCTCGAGTTGTCGGCTGTAGGATAATAACCGACTCGTGATAAAACCGAAAAACTTTTCTTATAAAAAAACAATATAATATGGATTAATCCGCTCAAGCCCCTCTGAATCTAAGCCTTTTTACCATTTTTAGCTGTATTTCATGCATAAAAATGTCTATAAAGGCAGTATACCAGCGCTGTCCAACTGGTGGCCCGCGAGTACATTTTACTATGAATAAATTTATGTTACTAAATTATNTTTCGTTTGTTAAGGAACATCTGTTCCTTTACAAACAGTTCTTTGTGTAAAGATCGACGCCAATAGAAAAGAAGCCAGAGGAATCGTGACTATAAATATGCAGATGGCCTGTAACTTCGACTAGAGCATCTTCTATCAACATGGCACTTATAACATGTATCGTGTTGTTCTGTGTGCTCGTGTACATTCCTGAAGTAAAGAGTTTCGAACAGTTTCATTGTGGTAAGTTCGATTATCATTAAACGACTCGCTTATTTTTGCAGCGCGAATAAGAATTAATGAGAAATGCAAATTGAATAGTTGTTCAGAATAGTTACTTGTCAATAATATTCACAGAATATTTTGTTTTCTTTCCAGCATAGCTTCGAACCAGAAATCTATATGATATCAATTAATGTACTGCACATTATACGCATATTCCGTAATCAGAGAGTAGAAAATGATAAACAGAAACGAAAAGTATATTTTTGGAAAATACTTTGATGAAATTTAAAAACGTACTCTTTAAAGCCGAAAATCTACTCTTGTTTCAGATTTAGAATTTCCCTTTTCCCTTCGGATTCAAAATTTTCTGACAAGTTTTTGTTTTTCGATTTGGTGTTTCAGTCTTCTCTTTGTCTCTATTGCACTATTTCCATTCATTCGTATTTACAGCAAATTGTCTTGGACTCTAACCAAGACGAAATGAGTAACAATAACAGAAAGTGTTTAGTCAAACAATTGAATAAAATCTGAGAAGCGCATCTTTTCGTCAGATAACTTACATATGGATATAGTTGCTGGAAATGATATATTTCTGTTACTTTACGAGGTTAATTACATTAGATCGGAAAAGCCTGGTTTTATTTTAACGAGGAACATCGTATAGCTTCTAAGAGACACTGTAGGACACTGAAAAATGCGACAATGAATTCGAAGGAACATTACTACACGAATTTGTACGTCGAAAATCCACACTAATGCCGCTTTTGGTTTCCTAAATTTATTTCAGACGACGAGAACGACCGCAGAATGGAATATTCCAACTTCACCTTCACTCCTTATCCGATTCAGTACGAAAACAGCTTCCAGGCTTCGTTTCATTCAAATTTCTTGCAGCCCGTAACGTGCGACGCCATCTTTTTCCTTACCATCCTGCCGTGCGGCAAAGAGAAGAGTCAAGCCGTGAAAACTTTGTAAGTTTACTTGAAAGATATTACAAAAGAGAATATTGTAAACCGGCAAAATACGAAGTAATACGAAAGTTTTGTATTAAATATTCGTTAATTTTTCACTTGTTTACAGTACTTTCGGCATGAAAATGGTGATGGAAGTAGTTAAGAAGTGTGCTAAAGATAAGAACGCTTACTATCCTTGTTTGGAAAGGGATTACGCCAAGAAATTGCAAAACGGAAACAACATTCAACCTGGAAGAATGTACATATGCGCCAATATACCCAAAATGTTTAATCCGGTAAGGAATGAACGAATTGCTTTTGCGCAGTCGAATTATTTAAAAGCTAACTTTTGACTTGTTCTCAGGGATGTTACGACGTTCTCCTCGAGTTTCGACAGAAGGAAGGTAAAAATAATATCGTCGGACTGTCTTGCTACAAGTTGACAAACGTCAAGGTCGAAAAGTAAATCAATAAAGATAAAATGTTATGCTTATTTTCAAAACTTGAAAAATAAAGTTTGGTGTTATAATGATGTGTTTATTAGACTTTAATAATTAAAGTTTGAGATGATGAATTGATTTGGATATACGGAACTGCTTTTTGGGCTGTAATTTGAAAAAAAAAACTGTAGACCTATAGATTCCTACCTGACGTCTAACGGTGCTCCTTTAATCTCGAAAACATAATTAAATAGATGAACTTTGACATCTTCAATCTTCTGTGGTTATCGACATTCGATGATTTCGGTTCTATTTTATGCACTTTTCTTGCTATTTAATTTATTAAAGTCCGGATATTTGCTTATGTTTTTGTAAAAATTTGTTTAGGATATACTGTATTTAGTATTTTTCTGTAAGAAGGTAAGTGCTGTGAATTTTTGTTCTTTGCAGAAGATTTTGAACAGAATAATTCGTGCAACACAGCCAGAAACTTGAAAAATTTATGAACCACGACATGGAAATTCTTTTGTTTTCATATTTAACTTTTCTGTATTTTTTTTTAAATTTATTTAAAATCTAGAATTTTTTTCGCAATTTGTAGGTCATACAATTATTGATAATAATATTTTAAATAATAAATGAGAAAAACGTATGGAGAAAACGTACCGTAATGGATTATTATGAAATTTAATTTTCGATATATATTTTTAAAAATCTATTAACGAGTTGTTTAACTTTCTCGGCATCATTTGGTGGCGCCATCTGTTATCATATTTCACTTTAAAATTTTTTACATATTTTTTTAACTATTATAAAACGGCAAGACGCTTAATTTTGAGGTTAGAGATGAGTTTTATACAAAAAATTAAAATGCTAGTAACGAGTAAAATCGTCGTTAAGTCCGTCGGTACTGGAGATGCACACAATCCCCTTTATCCCCTAATCTTCTGGACTTTTAACCACCAATATATAATAGCATCAATCCCTCTGATAAACTAATTTCCCTGCTAAATTTCATAAATTCTCGTCAAAAAGCAAAAACGTTATTAAGCTTCAAACAGAATAAACAAAATCGTGCCTCCACATACATCCTAACCTAATATAGAAATTATATATTAGAAACAGAAATTACCCTGAATTTTTTGCGTCTCTCGAAGTTTCAAAGTGTCTTAAGTCTAAATATGCAAAAATCGGGGAAAGAGTTATTATTTTGCCAGATCGCCATACTTTTCCTGTTATAACAGCCAGAAAACTAATACGAGAAAAATTTAACAAAAATAACATTTTAATAAATTAAAAAATGGATGCAAGGTATAGATGGTAATTTTAAATGATTAATTATTGATTTGAATATAGCATTTGTTTGCAGGTACTTTTAAATATAGTTTAATCTTTATGAAATAAGGGTTCTATTAGTCTCGAGTTGTCGGCTGTAGGATAATAACCGACTCGTGATAAAACCGAAAAACTTTTCTTATAAAAAAACAATATAATATGGATTAATCCGCTCAAGCCCCTCTGAAACTAAGCCTTTTTACCATTTTTAGCTGTATTTCATGCATAAAAATGTCTACAAATACAATATAATATTGCATTATATATAATATTATCTATATCCTATATCTAATAATATAAGCCATTGATCGAGTGTCTGTATATCTGTAACGGTATGCATAGAATAACTACTAGGGGCCCTCCTTGTTATTATTTAAATTAAGAATAAATTCAGTTTTTTGCCTGACAATATTAAAATATCAAAAAATGCGGGTTTTTGCGTTTTTAACTTCTGTTTAGTAGGGTATGCC